GACTGGCACAGATGTTAGCTCAGGGACAAAGTTCCCCAAGCAAAAAGAGGAAGACTGGCAACAGATATTAGCTCAGGCCAGTCTTCCTCACCAAAAAAAAAAAAAAAAAAAAAAATGTATTGCTTAATGAAGCTCATTTCTGGTGTGAGTACATGTGTGTGGTGTGTATGTGAGTGTGTATGGTGGGTGACTACGTAAATGTGCTGGAGTTGGCTCTAGCTGCTCACAAGGGCCACTGTGCACACCCACATCCCTCCTCAGCCCTGTGCTCAGGGACATTGCCTGATGACTTGGGCTCAGCCATGGTAGACGCTTTCACATCATGGAAATAAGCAAAGAGGGCTTCAGGAAATAGGGCTCCTGCCTCCCCAACAAGAAACGGTTGTTCAACATTTACCAGCACTCCATTGGCTGTGGTTAAAAAAGCAAATAAAACCTAAAGGCACCAGCCTCTGTGAGGGTCACGAACGCGTCTGGACGTGTCCGTTTCTGAGGGGCAGAGGGAAGCAGGAAGCCAACACGCTGTTCAAAGGAGTTTGTGACTAATTGGATTCAGTGCTGCCTTGGACATTTAGAAACTCAAATGACCGTCTGCTCAGATGACGTCAAGGTTTCTGTGGAGGTAGCTTTGTTTCCCCTTAGATTTGATAAAGAGTTTTTAGGAGGCTGGCACGTTACTGAAAGTTTGTGTCCCCCCAACATTCAAATGTTGAAATCCTAACCACCACTGCGATGGAATTAGGAGGTGGGGCCTCTGGGGGTGCTTAGGCTACGATGGTGGAACCCTCATCAATGGCATTAGTGTTCTTATCAAGAGACCCCACAGAGCTCCCTTGTCCCCGCCACATGTGCACACAGGGAGAAAGCATCCACCACGAGCCAGGAAGTGGTCCTCACAAGAACCCAGCCATGCCGGCCCCCTGATCTCGGACTTCCAGCCTCAGAACTGTGAGAAATAGATCTCTGTTGTGCATAAGCCACCCGGTCTGCGGTATTTCGTGATAGCAGCCAGAAGGGACCGAGAGAGACCTAACCAGGCAGATCCAAAGCCTTCGCTCTGCGCTCGGTTCCGTGCGGGCTGAGAAGACGGCTGCACCTCTGCAGGCAGATTCAGATGGAAGACACCGTCTCTCCCGTCAGTGGAGGAGACGTGAGCAAACCCTAGGAGGGCTGCAGCTGACGTGTGGACGTGGCGCAGTGCCAGGTGCATACAACTGGTTTTGCTAAGTGGCAAATTTGCAAGCAAAGAACGCATTTCCCCATTTCCTAGAGGGGTTTTAATTATGGATGGTGGAGTGCCCTGTGGAAGAAGTGCCTTAGAATTATTATTAATTCATGGCAATGAACTGAGGACTAGTGGCTCTCAGATCATGGTCCTTCACAGCCCTGCACTGAGCTCTCTCCTCGCTGCTCTTTTCTCTCATTCATACTCAATTGTGACTTTGTGTTCTTTGCTCCCCCCAAGCAAATGACCTCCTTAGCTGCAGATGCAGTTCCAGGACGGTCCCAGGGGTCTCAGGGATGGCAATCTAGTGGGCTGGAGGGTTCTAGGGGACCAGTCCTGGACCTGTGCTTGCCTAGTGAGCATCCTGTCGTCAGGCGTATTGTAGGTTTATTAGACAAGATGGAAATGGGGAGGAGAGGCCACTGGAAATTATGGAAGCACGAAAGCTTCCCCGGACGTGCCTTTCTGTGGTCACTGTAAACGGCCTTGCCCTCCCCAGCTCCAATCGCCCTCTGCGCCCTAATCCTGCAGTGTCAAGTCCTGGTCAATCCCTCATGGGGCAAAGCCACGACAGGCCTTGCTCTAAACCATTTAGGACTAGCTCCTTCCAGAAATTAACAAAAGAAAACACAGAGACGCATTTTGTAGGTCCTACAAGGCCAACACCAAGAGGGTATGTGTGGATGTGTGCGTGTGTGCATGTACACACATGGGTGTGTTTATTTAATTAGTTCCCAGCACCCAAAAATAAACGCATTTGGGGGCCGGCTGGGTGGCGCAGCGGTAAAGTTCGCACGTTCCGCTTCGGCGGCCCGGGGTTCGCCGTTCGGATCCTGGGTGTGAACATGGCACCGCTTGGCACGCCATGCTGTGATAGGCATCCCACATATAAAGTAGAGGAAGATGGGCACAGATGTTAGCTCAGGGCCAGTCTTCCTCAGCAAAAAGAAGAGGATTGGCAGCAGATGTTAGCTCAGGGCTAATCTTTCTCAAAAAAAATTTTACACAAACCACGTTTCTCACACACACACACACAGACTCTCTGGATTGGTGGTTCTCTCAGAAAGTCAACAAGGGGGCCTGCATCTCTGAATGCAGCTGCTGCAGCTGAATCCTGCTCCCCGCACTATCATTCCACAGTTTGCCACAGCCTCTGCCCTCTCCTACTGTCTTCCAACCTGGAGCCTGAGTGACAAGTTTCCTTGCAGTGAAATTAGGAAAAAAGAGAAACATTTTTTACATTCATTGTTCTTTCAAAAGTAAGCAAGCAAAGGGACAGAAAGTGACACGTTCCAAAAACAAATGGTAGAAAAGACATCTTTCCTCGGGTAGTGAAAACCATTCCTAATTGTTTAATATAAAAAACAAAACAGGGGCCGGCCCCGTGGCCGAGTGGTTAAGTTCACGCACTCCACTTCAGCAGCCCGGGGTTTCGCCGGTTCAGATCCTCAGTGTGGACATGGCACCGCTCATCAAGCCATGCTGAGGTGACGACCCACATAGTGCAACCAGAGGCACTCACAACTAGAATACACAGCTATATACTGGAGGGCTTTGGGGTGGAGAAGAAAAAAAAAAGAAGACTGGCAACAGATGTCAGCTCAGGTGCCAATCTTAAGGAAAAATAAATTAAAAACAAAAATATCAGTGTCTCTTCTAAAAGACTACGACTTCCGAAGCCTTCATGAGACAACGGGCACCTGTGTCCTTCATCTGTGACTGAGTTAAAGATGAGGATTCCAGGTAAACCCAGGAAAGCTCGACTTGTTCCAGGAGCGCCCTCTCCTCCTCCGACCTCTGCACCAGCTCACGCGCTTCCTGGCTCTCTCTGTCTCTGGGAGGGGACTTCCGGCACATGTTTAGTGCTATACACGTGTTTCCAAGGCTGCCGCCTCTCTCCAGATTCCTTAAAAGGAAACACCACCCAGAAAACGTCAAACGAGGAATCAGATCACCTTCAGTTTGGAGTTTTGAATGGTTTTCTCCATCAGGCCTGTTCTTTTTCGTGTCTCTTCCACCACACACACTAACACTTCATAAAAATTTTCCCAAACTTTGGCTATTTGCGTGCACTCTCACAATTTGTCACATCTGCGTACCATCTGTACTATTGCTTATTTAATACTTCTTGTGAAGACGATTCAATTTATTTTTAAAGGAAATTTTCATCGTCAGAAAGCCAGTATCACACGCCATAAGTAGAACGTAACCATCAAAATAAAAACAACGAAAAAGAAAGCCACATTACTAAATTCTTTCTAGGTGATGGCTGCTGCCAGCCCACGGCTCTAAGACGGAGGAGTTCTCTCCCGGTTAACAAGAATTTAGCACCAAACTAAAACCTCTTTCAATCATGATCTTCAAATGGAATGATGGAAAGAGAATTAAAATAATAATAAAATAATAATAATAACTTCGCCACTATGGGACTTAGTATTAATTAGTGCACCAGGAATTATCTTATCACCAAAAGGCTGGCCCTGAGTGTGTGTGAGCCTGTGTAACGTGTATGTGTGTGCAGGTGTGTGTATGTGTGTGCACATGCACGTGTGTGTGAGTGTGTGTTTTACCAAACAACCGAAACGGGGTGCTTCATTTCCCATGTGACAGGCAATGAGGCCACAGATTCCAGCCCTTGCTATTTGTATTAGGTTAGGTGGCCTTTTTCTAGGCCAACATATTATTTCCACAGGTCTTCCAGAAGCCTGAGAAAAGCTTCAGATTCCCACCGCATGCTTTGTGGGTCCCCAGGGACCCGGAAACCTGCGTAAGGAAGAATCACACAACATGAGCCCCGAGTCGTGTGGAACTCCACTCCTCGACGAGTTCACCCACGGTCCTCTCACAGAGGTGAGTGACACAGTGAAGTCGTGCACGCACCTAACACCCACACACTCAACTCTCCCCACTGGGCAAAGGTGGGAAAGGAAGCCGAGAGTGGCTCCCGTGGGGCTGGCACAGTGCCGCCCTGGAGCAGATGCCCCATGAAGGAGGGAGCACTTCCCGCCACGCTGCGTCCAATCCAGCTGAAAACGCTAAGCCCGTTTCGTTTTCCAAACCACCTGGAGAAAGTCAAAGTTCATGTTTGTGAGATGACCAGTGCCAGCACAGCTTCTCTGAACCTGAGCACGCAGCCCGGAGGTGGAAGAGGCACACGCTTGACCCGTAGTGATAAGGAGAAGCGCCAATATCTGGGCGGCCACTGCAGGAGAGGCGGGACCTCCATGCCATTCCCCGGGCCATTCCCAGCCCACCGCCACGGACAGGCACTGCGTCTCCCCAGCAGACTGTGCTTCTCGCGCTTACACACACTTACTGTCCATACCACCTGGCTCCTAAACACACGCCAATTACTTAATCTGTGCTCCATTGAAAACACGGCTCTGTGTTTGTTGTTGAGCCATTTGGGGGAGTTTCAAAGACAATTTGGACCACACATAGTGTTTGCCTCATGCTGGACCACACACGTTTTGCCTTATGCGCCACCTAGATGAACTTTTGCTTTGTATGACTTTCTCTTTACATGACTCCTCTGTATTCCCCTAAGAATTTATTAGTTATCCTTTGTAGCAGTAAATTAATTGTAAAGATTTATGCGTCATAATCTTGAACCTTGGTCTAGTTTTTATTTTTAAAAAGGCCAACAGACTTATTTACTTAAAAAGGAAGGAAAATTTTGGTTAGAAGAACAGTGTAAACTAATTTGAGAAAAATACATAAAAAGTATCAAGAGGAAAGCAGAGAAGAGATAAATGTTTACGGCAAGTCAACTCACCTCGGGGCCGACAATGACCAGGTAAACGTTGGGCTCTTCCTGATGCCATTCTTGGGAAGAAAAAAGAAAAAAAAACTTTAAAAACGAAAATGGTTTAAGTCACAGCTGAAAATACAACTACGTTTAATACAAATTACTCCATAAGACAAATTATTTCATATCATTTTGCTTTCATCCACATTAGTCAAATTTAACTATATTTATTTAAAATGTAAATATTTGACATTTTATGCTTTTAAATAAATTTTTTTTCTAGAATGTTACACCTTATCAAGTTTCCTAATTTATTAGATAACCAGGACTAACATGCTTCCACAAATGAATCTGGGCTTCAGAACGTGCTGAAGAGTGAGAGCCCAGACTAACTTAAGCAAAGCAATAAAACTCCAAATGCAGCCTACAAATTGGCATGAGTAAAGCATCTTCAGATAAAACTATTTTAGCCTTACAATTATTCACTACTTTTATAATTTCCTCAGAAGCTGAGGGCAAGGAAAGTAGAAAACAATTGAAATGACTCCACAGCGCTATTATTTTTCCGGTTGTTGCCAAAGTAACCATCTAGAAACAGTTCTGCTAATGTGCAAAGTGTGCGAAGATAAAATTCAAAATCTTAAAGAGAGAAATGCGAAGACGTGCCCCGCCCGTAAACAGAGGGTGACCTGAGAAACATACCTGAGAACACATCCACCACATAGAGAGGGTCTTTCACTTGTCTGAGTCCGCATATCAGGAGAAACACGTGTAAATTATCAGCACTTTGGTTAATCTCTGCAATGGAAGAGTTCAGGATGTTCTCAGGGGAGAGGACTCGAGGGGTAACACAGCATCCACAACCCCAGACACAGCTCAGGGCCCGAGGGGCCTCAGACTTCTCAGCCAGCTGTTCCCACTCCTGACGCTTGTATTCATTTCCCTGCATGAACGAACATTCTCTCGTGATGGGTAAACCTGAGTGAGCCCAGCCTCATAAACGTAAATGTGCCTCTGCTGCGGTGAGGAAGGGCGGGGCAGGGAACTGACTCAGTTATCACCGACGTGTGAGCCAGAGGTCCTGGAAAACATTTAGACCCAATTCCAGCCACAAAGACTATTTTCTTGATGAAACTGGAAAGATGGTTTATACATTAATGTACTCCTGACTCCATACATGTATACATAGGTACCCACATTTACAGTATACCTGCCCAGAGACAGACAGAAGGGTTTAGTTTTGCCATAGTGAAAGCTGTAACATAAGACTAGTTGTGGAAGACGGCCACGTTCTTTGTGGCACCTCCCACCCAGAGGTGGAATCAATTTCTCCACTCCTAGACTCCACTCCTAGTCTCCACACCAGACTGGGTGAGAATGTGAGGTCAGGAGACAAGCCATTCTCTTTAATGAATGATGAAAGTTGAAGAATACCTTTAAAGATAGGAAGGCCAGGTCCATCCCTACAGTACTACGCAAGAACATCAATGAATGCTAAGACCAGTAAGAGTTCGATGAGAACAGAAATTAAAAGTGCCTTCTCAAAAATGACTTATTAATTAATTTCAAAGGAAACACAACATCTGTACATGTACCCACTTAACTAAGGTAGGACACCTCAGCCCAGTGCACATGGGTTTGTGTTTACACACACATACACGCACACACACAGTTTACATATTAAAGAAAAATCACCAGTAATGAAAGAAGCTGACATTATGTGTCTCCAGATGTGACACATTGAAAAGGATACAAAATCACTTCAACCATCATCATCATCACGTGCATGAGATATCTCTTCAAATATACAAGAAGAGGAAAAGAAGGAAGGTGGAAGGAGAAAAAGCATGAAAGGGAAAACCAAAGAAAAAAAACCCAAAGAAGGGGAATGTTGAGAATCGTTATTACTGAATTGAAAAAAAGGGCATACAAAAACAAAACAGAAACACAGAGATGGCGTCCAGAGAAGATATCCAAAGAAAGCATCATTGTAAGAAACTATGTGATGTCTCGGCAAAAAGCCTCCACTTAATTCCTTATTTCTGCTATGTGACAGTATAGATGGAAATTATTTTGCTCCTCGACTTCGATTTGACACATTAGCTGCCCAGAATAGCAGGTGCAGAAGACTGCTGGCCTTCCGGTCAGGTGAAGCTGGAAAAAAGTGGCCCTGCCCCAACCCCAGGACCCCTGGGAAAGACAGCCCTGGGAGGAGAATCCTCTATAATTCACAACACGGGTCTTCAACTGCTGACTGGACCTACAGTAAGATACACATGTTATATTGCAATCCCTACACAGGGGTTATGCATTTATCCACAGAGTTTATACATAGTTTCCAAAAAAGAAATTAGCCTTGCTACAGATGAGGTCTTTGACAGTTTTTTGTTCTATTTCATTTCATATTGTTAAAAGTGCTGGTCCCCAACTCACTAAACTGATTTTAAGGCCCCTGCCCTACCAGACCTGGAGGGAGAGGGAGCTGATCGCAGTCCCCTGCCGCTCCCCTCACGGTCTTCCTGGGTTGGAGACTGGATGTCATGGGAATTTAGGAAACTAAATAAGAGAACGACCGAGCAGAGGACTAAATGCTTTGTCTTATTCTAGGATTTTAAGAAAACAAAATGCAGAGACAGCAATTGGGTTCTAGTTGCTTATATGCACTTCTCACATATAGAAATATCATTTTCAAGGAAATAAAGACAACAGTTGACAAATCCTGATGGAAGAAGCGCATGCTCAGCCCCTCGCACTGAGGCACCAGCTCTCATTCATCAGTTCCAGGCTCCCTTCGACCCTGGCCAGCCTCGGGGAAAGTAGTCTGTTCACTGTTCGATTTTAAAAAGGAACTAAAACAGGTGCTCTGTGGGTTTGGAGGGGAGGCAGGTACCTACCTAATTTTTTAGTGGATTTTGTTTTCTCATTTTAACCCAAAGCTTATTTTTCTTCTCTTTGCTTTTCCTCTAATATCTAGGTTAACAAGGTTGGAACTCATCCCTTAAAATGTGTGCCATTCTGTGTCTTTCTGATGTCATCATTTCCTGGAGAATGGCATTTTTATCTTCAAAACAAAACAAGTCATTCTCCCGGTCTGCCACCACATCATCCCAAGAGGCTCCGCACCATGTCGCCTAACCTGCAAAGTCACTCATCAGCGGCTCCAGAACAGAAACCCAGTCTGAGTGAAGCCAACTTCTAACCACTGTTGTCTATTCTGGCAGCTCTCTTTATTTTTTTCACATGCTATTATAAGCAGAAAAGAATTCGAGAACATCAGTTGAGTGTATTAGGGTTTGGGAATTTTAGCTGATAAGTCTGATTTTGGGGGCCATTGATGCATAAAGGGATCTAGTAACACCAATTTTCCATATGAAAAATAAGCAAATTTTCCAAGGAACAGCCTGAGGAGGAAAAATACACCATGTGAGTTAGGCATATTAGAGTCTCCGTATAGAAAATACAAATAGAGTTTAAAAAAGAAAGAGAGAGAAAAATAAATAAATAAATAGAAATAAGAAGAATATAAAATGGACAACAGAAAAACAGGAAGGAGTGGTGGAATGGCCAGGTCAAATTTAAGCTTTCATGGTTTCTGGGTTTGATGGTCTTTTGGGAATCATTACTTCACATGTGTGGGTCACTGGCATTTAAAAGCAAAAATCATGGAGCACTGCATCGTAACAACATTTAAGATACACTTGGAAATGCACAGAAAACTCAAAGACCAGGTAACTAACTCGATGTCTAAACATGCATCTTCTCATCAGAAGAGCTACTGTAAATATCATGTGAAAAATTACAGCAAGGCCACTTAGCACATTTAACCTACTTCATTCTTTATTTGCTCCTGGTTGATCTGTTCGAATGTGGGATCCGGTTAGCATAAAATTGGTTTAATGTTTTAAACCAAGGAGACTCAGTAATTTGTTAGCTAGACCTTAGAGATAAAACTGAATGTCCTCAAAAACCTGCTACATACTGTCGAGAAGAATGCGTCATAAAACTGACATCAGCTATTTAGGAAGCAGACGATAAACCGTGGTGCCTAATCAGGGGCCCGCCTATTTATATGGAGTGATAAACGAGGCCCTTCCCAACACACTCCCCTTGACTTCAAGGTTAACAGTTCATAAGAATTCAGAGGGCGAGTATTTGATCACTAATAGCCTGTATCAAATTCACTGTATCTTCTGTTTTCACTGTCTCAAGCTCAAAGTGGAGGTGCCAATCACAGTCACGGGTTTCGAACATGCGGGGGGCAGGGTAAGACAGTGGAGGGGGGAGGAAGATGGGTCATCTCTAGAGTCTGAAAGAGACAAAGATGAATGGCCACACAAAGGAGGACAGGCAACTGATCATAGAACCCAGAGACGCGGATTAATTCTACATCTTACCCGTAAGCCATTACCTACCCGCCTCAGCTACCAGCATCACAATCACAGCCCAAGCTTCCCTGTGCCCATCTATTCTGAATACATTTACAACTTCTAATTGCACACATCAAGATTAAACTGCAGCCAAGCAGGACTCCAGAGGAAATGTTGTCTAGGGAGGATTTTAAATCTCTTGGCTGTTTGGTGAATCACTCCCTCGTAAGAACAGCGAAACAATCAACCGTTGAGACTGGAAGTTGATGACGAATCTCTCTCCTTTGGGAAATTATGAATCTTAGTTACACTGCAACTGTGTCCTGTGATACACAGAAGATGAAATAACCTTACAACAGGCAATTTAAGACATGCCCACTGGTTCAGAATAATGGCGCACCCTTCCGGACATGATAAAGCAATCGGATGGCGTGGGTCCATCTGTAATGCTGAGAACAGCTCTGCTCTTGTCGCTGAGACTGATGAATACACTCCGAAAATTATTTCTAATAAAATGCTTGGAGATTTTTTTTCTTTTGCAGGGAACCCAATGCTGACATACAGTACGTGGTGGAGGTTTTGCTTGAAGTTTTTGGAGCAAAAACAGGCTAGGGGGTCTTCACACTTGCTGAGGGCAGGGCTTGATTTTGCACCTTCAGCTTCTTCTTTGAAGTTTACAACAGAACTTGCAAATTGAGCCCTCCCCAAGAGCACCCCTCACTGTCCTCTCTCGGAGGAAACCTTTCAGGTCAAAACAGACAAATTCTCAGGCTTTAAATCGCAGTTGGAGGGAAATGCAAATCAAAACCACAATGAGATCCCACCTCACACGCATCAGAATGGCTAATGAACAAAAAGACAAGAAACAACAAGTGTTGCAGAGGATGGAGAAAAAAGAGAACCCTCCTACACGCTGGTGGGAATGTAAATTGGTGCAGCCACGATGGAAAACAGTATGGAGATTCCTCAAAAAATTAGGAATTGAACTACCATATGATCCAGCTATTCCACTTCTGTGTATTTATCTGAAAAATATGAAAACACTAACTTGAAAAGATACATGCACCCCTATGTTCACTGCAGCATTATTTATAACAGCCAAGATACAGAAACAACTTAAGTGTCTATCAAAGGATGAATGGATAAAGAAGATGTGGCATATACATGCAATGGAATATCATTCAGCCATAAAAGAGGATGAAATCTTGCCATTTGTAACAACATGGATGGACCCGAAGGTATTATGCTAAGAAATAACAACTGTTGGAGAAATAAGTCAGACAGAAAAAGTCAAATACCATATGATTTCACCCATATGTGGAACCTGCAAAAAAAAAAAAAAGAACAAACAAAACAAAAACAAACTTATAGATACAGAGAATAGACTGATGGTTACCAGAGGGGAAGGAGGTTGGGGGGCGTAGGTAAAATGGGGGTCAAGTGCAGGGTGATGGATGGCAACTAGCCTTTTGGTGGTAAGCTGTGGTGTAAACAGATGTCAAATTATGGGGCTGGCCTGGTGGCACAGTGGTTAAGTTTGTGCACTCCACTTTGGCAGCCCAGGGTTCACCGGTTCAGATCCTGGGCGCCGACCTACACACTGCTCATCAAGGCAGGCTGTGGCAGCGTCCCACATAGAGGAATTAGAAGGACTTATAACTAGGATGTACAACTATGTACTGGGGCTTTGGGGAGGGAAAAAAAAAGAGGAACAGTGGACCAGCTGTTAGCTCAGGGCCAATCGTCCTCAAAATAAATAAATAAATAAATAAATAAAGGGAATTGGCTACATTAAAAAAAACCAGATGTTGAATTACAACGTTGTATACCTGAAACTTATATAATGTTACATGCCATTTTTATCTCAATAAAAACATTGCATTTGATAAGCCAATTTTAGCTGTTTCAGCACCTTTACCAGAAATATTGGGTTGGTCAGCCTATAAGGCAGTTATGATCCCATAGAGCATGTACTTATGGGCCTCATTTGTGGACAACTAAACCTTCTATACTTAGAGATAGTATACAATGAAATTTTCTTTAAACATCCTGACTATGCTGAAGTCCTACTGTGCGTGGAAAACACGATGGCAAGATTCTCCTAGCTCTACCACTTGTGGGGAAAGTGGCACCCTCACAGCATCGCCGATGGACACGCACATTGATGCTACCTTGCCAAAGGACAATTGTGTAAGACATATGAAAGCTCTGCTTAAGTGCATAATCTAATCCAGTGATTCCATTTTTAGGAATTGCTGCTAAGAAAACAATTGGGCCAATATATGAAGACTGAAGTCCTTCATCACTGCATACCCAAAAGTTTTAAAAAATCGAAATGACCAACAAGAGCCGTTGGTCAAATAAGATTACAGAATTTAAAATAATACTATAAAGGAATTAAGAGTCATGATATAATTAGAACTAATAAATTGACAAGATTTGCAGGATAAAATGTCAATGTAGAAAAATCAATTGTATTTCTATATACCAGCAACAAACAATTCAAAAATGAAAAATTTTTCAATCCCATTTATAATGGTGTCAAAAATAATAAAATCTTTAAAAATAAATTAAAAGAAAATACATGAGGGGCCGGCCCCGTGGCCAAGTGGTCAAGTTCGCACGCTCCGCTACAGCGGCCCAGGGTTTCGCTGGTTCGGTTCATGGACGCGGACATGGCACCGCTTATCAGGCTACAGTGAGGCGGCGTCCCACGTGCCACAACTGGAAGGACCCACAACTAAAATATACAACTATGTACTGGGGGGATTTGGGGAGAAAAAAGCAGAAAGAAAAAAAAGAAGATTGGCAACAGTTATTAGCTTAGGTGCCAATCTTAAAAATATAAAAAAAAAAATACACGAAAGACCTGTACAAATCACTATGAAGATAAATAAGGCAAATAAATGTACACATACACCTGTTCATAGATTTTAGCACAAATTATTGTTAAGATGTCATTTCTCCCTAAATTGATCTATAGATTCAATGCAACAGGATTTTATATAAATTGACAAGATGATTCCAAATTTATATGGATATGCAAAAAATCTACAATAGCTAAAACAATTCTGAAATAAAGTTGTTGAAAAACACTACCTGATTTGTAGATTTACTATAAATCTACAGCCGTGAGACAGCATGATCTTGGTGTGAGGATAGACATATAGATGAACAGAACACTCACGCACAGTAAACTGATTTTCAGCAAAGGCACCAGAGCAATTCAATAAGGAAAGAAAAGCATTTTCAATAAGTGATACTGAAACAATTTATAGAAAAAAATGAATTTTAATCCCTACCTCATACCACACACAAAAAATTCCAGATAGATTACAATCCTAATGAAAAGCTAAAATGCTAAAACTTCCAGAGGAAAAAATAATAAAAAATAAGGAAAATACCTTTGCAAGCTTAGGGTAAGCAAAGATTTCTTAGACAGGACTCAGAAAGTACTAACCATGCAAGAAAAATTGATCAACTAGACTTCAACAAAATTAAAAACTTCTGCTCTTCACAAGGCAGAGTACTAACCGCTATACGATCATCGCCAGCTTCTGCTCGTCAAAAGACACAGTTAGGAAAACGAAAAGGTAAACCAGAGAATGGGAGATAATATTCACAATATAGGTATCTGACAAAAGACTTGTACCCAGAATATATTTTTTAAAACCTCCTACAAACCAAGAATTAAAAGACAAACAACATAATTAAAAAATTGGGGAAAAGCCTTGGCTAGACACTTCACCAAGGAAGATACATGAACGGCCAAAATGCACGTGAAAATGTACTGAACACCGCTCATCTCAGAGAAATGGAAATCAGAACCACAACGAGATATGATTTCACCATCCCCCTTGAATAACTAAAATTGAAGAGACTGTCAGTACCAACTGTTGGCAAGGATGTGGAGTAACCGGAACTCTCATCAACGTCTATGGAAGTATAAAACGGCACAATACTTTGGAAAATTGTTTGGCTGTTTTTTTTTACAAAGTTAAGCAAATATGCACCCTATAACCAAGCTAGCCAACTTACAGGCATTTATCCAAGAGAAATGAAAACACAGCTCACCAGAATCTCTGCACCAGGATGTTCAGAGCAGTTTTATTTATAATAGCTAAAAATAGGAAGCAACTCAAAAATCCATCAATAGGAGAACGGATAAACCATTGGTGGTATGTCCATACAATGGAATGCAACTTCTGTCATGGATGATAGAAACTGGGGCAGGGGTCTCTTCTAGGCCACGGGGATTAAATGCGGAAGAGCCCACGAGGGAACTTCTTGAGCGGGAGGAAGGTGATCTCTGCATTCGGGTGTAGACATTTGTCAAAACTCATTTAATTTTACGTTCGAAGTCTCTGTATTTCACTACATGTAAATTTTATGTTAGAAATTTTTAAAGAATGACAAATTAGCTCATATTATTATTGACATAATGAATAAATAAGGTAGGTTACAGCAGAAAGTATAGGTTGACTGTATTTTTGTCTTTTAAAAATAATTATATATAATATATTATATTTAATAATGTGTTATATTTAGATTATAATATACCCATATACAGATCTATAATTATGTTACTATATTATATCTATTTTATATAATGATTTTAAAAGACAAAAATATATAATATAGATACAATATATATGATATCATATATAATATAGATACAATATCTATAGATATATATCTATAATTATATATAAATACATAAAATCTTTACATAGATGTGGAAAATTGTTGAGAAAGATCACATCAAAACATTAACAGCAGTCCCTTTTTGGTGCTGAGATTTCAAGTGCTTCAATTTTTGTTTCTGTATCTGGTCTCCACTTTCTCGTGTTTTTTACGGTGGTCATTCATCGCGTGTGTCACTAATAAAGGGACAGGAACGCACGAGGCTGGTGTCCTTCTGAGGAGCGAATGCCACCTGGAGTGGGACACACACGGGGAGGCATGTCCCACGAGCACGTCAGAAGGGCCGTGGCCCCCTCCCTCCTGCTCTCCAGCCGGCAGGTCCTCACGAGGAGATGCCACCCCCGGCGTCTCCGAGAACACGGGGAAACTGCGTTTGTTCTCCAAATCTTGTCTTGCTCCAACCCATGCTTCCCCGTCCCTGTTCTCCCTAAAACAGTGCATTTCTGTGACCCGACAGCCGCGTCTTCCAAACGCTGTGAAACTAACGAGTAATGACACCGGCCGACATGATGCCCTGGGTCAAACCCCCATGAGGTCTCACCTCTCACCTGAGCGCTGAAGGAAGGCATCCCAGTCAAAGGCGGGGTTCGGGACTGTTGCAATTCCTGGGTCAGAGGAAAGATAGAAAGACAAAGTTCATGGGGATGAGACAGAACCAGGTAGTTTGTGTGGACGTTTATATAACGGTCATACTTGGTTCTTAAAAAGAACTCAGAGCTCTGAGCGCTTCACTGAATTCCCGTTAATCCTCCAGCCTATAAGATTGACAGCGAACCCCCGGGTTCCCAGTGGGAGAAGAGCCACCACTCCCAGCCCCCATCTCGACCAGCCGGCAGCCTCCAGGTCACAGGAGGCCCAAGTTCCTATAAAATGCACGAGGGCGACAGGCATCTAAAATGTTCCCAGCTAAACTCCAACGGCCCCCAGAGAGAACTCACGTCTACTTAAAATCTCTAACCTCCCCCCCAAATCACATACGATGGCCTGCTATCTGTGTCACTTCCTCAGGCAGATTTAAGCTTAAAATTCTCTAGAAAATTGAACATTTTAAGACATAGACAATTCAGTGGCAACATTTAACAGATTATCTTGATAACTGAAAAAATTTGAAATTTTATGAAATGTAAATCAAGTTGTCTAAGCACCTGTCCAATGCACTTGTCAAGCTGTCATTCACAGTGAATAATATGAATGACAGCTAATTGATGAGCGTCTGCTCCACGCCTGCCCTGGGCCCCAACTCTGGGTGGGCACCCTCACCACAAGCCTGGAATTTCTTAAGGCCCTGGTGGGCGGGCTGACTCCTCCAGTCTATCCGGCTGGAAACTGAGGTCCCAGAGGCTGGCCGGTGTTCAAAGTGAGGCAGCATAGGCGGCAGAGGCTGCCTTCACACCCACGTGCTGCTCCCAAGCCCGGTTTTTCCTGCTGTACCAGCGTTTTCCTTGACTATAAATCAGGCCACAGTAGAGGAGAGGGAGGCGCCAACCCCAAGCCTGCCCTGACGCTGACACACGCCCTTTATACAGACCGAGTCAGCACATCCTTTTTCAAATGGGGGCTCCAAGAGTTTATTTGGTAAGTGATTCCACAGCTAAAAATCCCCCTGAAACCACTAAAGCATTTGCACCCTGATGATGCGATGCGCAGCTAAAGTGGGCTGAGGGGCCGTGTGCCCTGGTGTCCAGCACCCAGGAAAACGCCTCACGAGGCCTGAACTTGAGACCTGGGCCTCAGCACCTGCTCCAGCCTAAGCTTAGAATCCCTTACGTGGTCTATTTTTTTGTTTGCTGGGAAAGATCTGCCCTGAGCTAACATCTGTTGCCAATCTTCCTCTTTTTTTCCCCCTCCCCAAAGCCCCAGTGCCTGGTTGTGTATCATAGTTGTTCCTTCTACTTCTTCTGTGTGAGCCGCTGCCACAGCATGGCAACTGACAGACAGACGGTGTGGGCCCGTGCTGGTGACAGGAACCCGGGCCACCGAACCAGTGAGAGCACTGCACTTTGGCCACTAGGCCATCAGGGCAGGCTCCCATCATATCCTCTTCTCTGGAACCACTCTTTCCCTGACTCCTATTGTTTAAACAATAGAACAGTTTTCTGGCTATATTTAGGAGACCCTGGGGGTTTCAGGAAAGGATGTCAGAGGCCACCACTGGGCAGGACCAGGTAAGCGCAGGGAGGGGTGGAGATGAAGGGAGAAGGGTTCTGGGTCCCCCAAACTCAACTTAAATGGAGAAGCTGAGCCTTCTCCTGGTTTAATCACACCATTGAGAGAGCACTTCATAATTCTACTGGTTGAAAATGTTAAGTGATCTGCATTTTAAATTATCCTTTGATAACTTCTCCTATTCCTCTTTTATCTTAATGTTAAAAAATACTAAAAGTGTATCCATTCTACTATTTTTAAGTAAATCTCAGACTTCATATTATTTCATCCATAAACATTTCAGTATGTGTCTCTAAAAGATAAGGGCTCATTTCAAAATATATATATATATTTAAAAATTCTTACCTTGACTCTGGACATAGATCTTACCCTTAGCATGCGGCTTTTGAAAAGAGGAGAAAAAGAAAAAAAGTAAATTCGATAGTCCATTACAATTACATCTTAGAAATAAAATGAAGGTCATAAGAAAGTCCTCTTAGAAAACATCACACAGAATCATTTACACAGCCACTCACAGACTAGTTATTTTATAAGAGCAAAGAGTTACCTCTGCTTTTAATGGGGGTTAGCCCATTAAAAATACAGCATCTATGAGGCAAGAAGCACAAAGAAAGAAGTCCCTTAAATTGGGCATTACGCAATAGTACAATTTTAGAGTTACTACGTTAGTAGAAAAGTTATCGAAGCTCAGAACATGCCAGTGACAGAGCCTGTTTGGTGCATATCATGTGCTGAAGCCAAAGGTGGAGTTTCGGGAAATGCGGTTTGGGGACACACCTCCTTGAAGGGAACGAGTATATTCTCTCAACTTTGGAGAAGAAAGAAGGAGGGGGAGGAGGAGGAGGTGGAGATGGAGGAAACGGTAAAAGTGGAGGTGGAGATGGAGATGGAGGTGGGAGGGAGGTGAAGGTGGAGGTAGAGGTGGAGAAGGTGGAGGTGGTTGTGGAGGTGGAGGTGGGGATGGAGGAGGTGGAGGTGGAGGTGGAGGTGGAGGTGGAGGTGGGGATGGAGAAGGTGGAGGTGGGGATGGAGGAGGAGGAGACGGAGAAGAAGAAGAATACTCAGTATGTTGACTAACAAGAAAACAGGCCCCAGGGGGCAGATTCTTCCAGGCACCTGACTAGACTGGTCTCATGGACCCTGTAAGGACCTCATCAAATGCCTCTTTGACATCAAGGGACAAGATGGCACTTGCATGACTGATCTAGAAATTTTCACCAAGACGTAAACTTACTATTTCTGGTGGAACTTCACAAAACTACCAGAGAGAAGAAGAATCCACTTTTCAAGTTCATCTTGAGATAGTGGCATAAATACTTTTAAAATCAAGTTTAGACCCAAAAGTGGAAGTAACAGGAGTAGAGCAAAAAATCCACTTTTAAATTGCTATAGGGTCAAGTAGGTGCCAATGGCTGTTTCTCATAAATGATCAAAAGATATAGTCATATTCGTGAAAAAGTCCAAAAATGCGCACCTATTTGTCATGTAGCCTGAATATCAGATCAGTGCATGAAACGACTAAACTAGCTGGTGAATGGTGAACACAGAATTCACAACTCTGTGCTCATTACCTGAATGTGTGGGGAAGGGCACCGTGTGGCCCTTAAGGTGATGTGCAGTCCGTGGTATTGCATGTGTCTGCTGATCCACTTTGACCTTCATTCTCAAGTCAGGTTTACATTTTGGGAAACAAGCCACAGGGGATGCACTCCTACCAGGGGAGAGACGATCTATGGGGAGGAGAGGGAGGTGACCCTGTGCTCTGCCTGGGTGACGGGAAGATCTGGGAGGGGAGCATCCAGCCATCACAGGGCAGCTGAACGGAAGCTGGTACATAGGCATGACTCTGGGTTTGGTTTTGCTTGTGTTCATAGCACTATATTTTGCATTTAACCATTAGAAGCCCCTGAGACTTCTAAAATTCTTGACTATCCTCCTCAATTCACCATACAGCAGGGATGCAGCCCCTTTTAAAATGCCCTTAAAATAGTGAGCCTTAAAGAAAAGAAGAGTTTCAACAATCTCTACTAGCTAAAAAAGATATTGACTTTAATGAAAAAAGAAAAACGGCTAATAGCAACCACTTGAAATTAGAAATTGAAGTTCAGAGCCCTAAAATATTCCTTTTGTTTAATTATAATTTCACCGGAAAGCTGAAGAAAATTTTATTGGAATGCATTGGAGGCTAAGAGCATCTCCTCCTTGGCCGGCCCTGTCTGAAACATCGGCTCGGAAATGTCTGTAAGAAGGACGCCAAAGCATCGTCAAAAACAGATCAGCACGGAATTTTAACTTTAAAGTTAATATAAGAGTTTGACAATAACATATTCAATGCAATTCTACATAAATTTGATTCATGAAGGTCAGACAAAATAGAGTTTTTGGTCTTGCCACTGTTTTCATCAGAAATATGCTCTGCAATTAGAAATACTTAAGACCAAAACGCTCCTTACAAGAAAATTCCTTTTGAAACAAACATAAATTAACTAATTAAACGGGTATCTCAACTTTATAAACAGAATGAATTGACTCTTTGTGGAAACTTCCGGATTTATCTGCTGGTCTTTACATATCTCTGAGCACTATTTCTCCAAAATCCACTGAAACCCTGGAAAAATAACTAAGTGTCAAGTCCTATATAGATTTTTAAAAAAATGTCATAAATGATACTTTAAGATCTTATCCGAGCAAATCAAGAAAATAGAGTCACAGCTTAAAAGAAATCTGGAACTGGGTTATTTTTAATAATTGTAATAAAAGAAATCTGGAAAAGCCAATTGGCTTATATTGATTTTGAAAAACATTTTCTATATTAAAGTGTTCTAAATACAAATTAGCTTTTTTTGCTCAATATTTATTGTTGTTTCACTTGCTTTGAAATAACACGAGTCAAAGTCCTTGTATATCACTTGCCTTGCGAGATTAGCTCATCGATACATAAAATGAAAAAGAAGATGGGGAGTGGGGTTGGGGGGGGGGGGCCGGCAGTGAGGGAAGAGTCTCCATTTTTAACATCTCTGAGAAACCACTACTTAATGTGGTCCATTACCAGGTAAAAAAGACAGTGTCCTGTTGGATAGATCCCTAGACATATGTGTGACATTGTGACAGACCCAAATGCTAATTTATGCCTTTTTATAATGGAATAACAGACAGCAACAACAAAAAAGATTTCCTATTCTTTGATTAATATAACCTTCAGAAATTAAACTTTCTTCAAGTGGAAACCACAATATGTATTATTTTTGAAGTATATGCATAATTTCATGCTCCCCAGGTGGTAAAAATACTAATTTTTATTTTGAAATTACAACTTCTGATGATGGCTTCGTTAAAAGTTCTTTTAAAATAGTAATAAATCGCTTAAAAGAAATCACGGCCCATGAATGCAAAGGTCTCAAAATACACCTACATTACAAAACACACAGAAACTGGGCCCTTTTCACGGGAAAACGAGTCTTCTTTTCTCCCTCTACTCTTTTCCCTTAGAAATCTGTTTTTAAGCAAGGAAAGAAAACAAAAGTTCCAAAAAATCAGGAGGGGCTAGAGCCTTGTCACTCAACTCCTGCCAGTGAACCAGACAAAAAGATTTTTCAAGAAAAGAAGATACCCATGAATGAGATGAGGAGGAAATCTGAGTTGGGATGCAGTTCTGCTGGATCCAACATGGAGCAGGCCGTAAAGATGAAATTGAAACCATCCATGACCCCGGGCAAAATCAAGCGGGGAGGGTACATGCCGAATCTGGTCCGGAGCTCAAGAAATAGGAATGCCAACGGGAAAGTTCCCGGGAAGATTTATTTTTAACAGTTAAATCTATGGAGTAAATAACTCGGAATTATTGCTGATTTTATTTCAAAGCTTCCCCTACCATTCTCTGCCTTACGAGTCAATGAATTAGAAGCAATACTTTTGATTATTCGAAACATGTGAGCCCCAGGTCATGAAAGAGGTGAACTCAGGATCTGGGCTCTGGAATTGATGAGTTTTCCATCCTTAGAGATATTTTTAAAATTTTCAATTCCCAGGGATCTCATATAGGGGAAAAAAACGCAAAGAACATTTGCAGTTCCATCAGGAAATCTCTGAGGAAAGCCAGTCTTAACAGAAGTTATTAAGGATGATTAGCTTCCTAGGATGTGATCAGTCCCCAGAGTTTCTCTTTCAGGGCATTTGCGGGAGGCCCGGCATACGAACTAGGGAGTCTGAAGATGAAACCGACGAGATGAATGTTTTCAAGTTTCCATTATGGTAGGAACTGTAATAAAAGATGTGGTCTGTGTGGCTGCTGCTGCTGCCAACGTGACGTTCAGAGACCACCAGAAACAAAGCAGTGGGCCATGCAGGAAGAAGGAGAAGGAACGAGGGGTCAGAGGGCAGCATGCGTGTACTACAGACGTCAGCAATTAGTCGAGAGGCAGCTGGTTCAGGTTAGGCTGGCACCAACACCTAGGCTGGCTTTTGGAGCTCACCTGTGCCACGAACCGTGCGTGTGACAGCCAGTGAAATCTGTCTCGCTTTCTGTATTTTAATTTCCAAAAGAATTTTGATGAGTATCTGTACACACTGAAAGTAAAATTATGCTTTACGTATTGCCTAACACAATGGCTTCAAGAAAGTTATTTTTCTTTGATAAGTGCCAAGGCAAGGTAGATAAATCAGGCCCCAGAAGGTGGTGACTCAAAGTTTCCAAATTTAAAAAAAAGTCACTAAAAGTAACACCACCAGGAAGCTCAGCTCAGTGCTAGCCTCAGCAAAGGGCACCGAGGGGCCACGTGGGCCATCATCCTGCTCTCTTGAATCCGACAACCATGTCAAGCAATATTTACTCAAACTCAAGATTTTTAAAAATAGTTCATGAATAAACATTCAAATTTAGATAAAGTCCTCTTATCAGAGGACTTAGAAAGAGTGTGTGAGCGATGCAGTTAAATTGTTCATAGGCCTGTGGGATTTTGAACCCAATGGAAACATAGTAAACCATAATCATTGCTTCTGCAGAGAGAAAAGCCTTCAATTAAGATACAGACCTAATTTGCTTTTAACATTTTTGGTGAAACATTTACACTGTCTGGTGAAAGTCTGGTGAATTTGGAGAAAGCATTCTAAACTTGGGCTACAACTAGAAGTGCCCAGATTTGCATTCAGAATGTCTATTACATACTGTGGTAAGAAACCAAAATTCTACATAGACAACTTTCACATTTCCACAATGCATATATCACAGTTAGACATGTATAGCGAATCAAATTCCTAAAAATTCCAAATTGAGGTTATAATATCACAAACCAAGAGCAATGTTATCCCAAAACATGACCAATGTGGAACTTGCGTGATAAATGTTAACAACAGAGCAGCAGACCAGGTGAGGAGCCCACTGGG